TAGGGCTGGGGGACCTGGGTAAAGACCCAAGAAAGAGTGGGAGAGCCAGGGAGGGATCCAGGAAAGGTTTGGGGCCACAGGGCAGGTGTCAAGGAGGGCTGGGAGATCCCTAGGCAGTGCTGGGATAGCCAAGAAGGCTGTGGGGGCTCCCCATGCCCATCCCACACTCAGCAGTGCGCACCATGATGTAGAGTCCCCCCCCTCAGAGCACACCTGGCAGCTGTAATTCCCTGAGTGGGAGACCCCCACGTTGGGCACCAGCAGCTGCAGGGACCCCTGTGGACCCCCCACCACCTGCCCATCGAGGTAGAACACGTGCAGGAGTGGGGCTCGGGGCCGCAGGGGGCTGGGGGTGCTGAGGCAGGTGAGAGTCGGGGGGACCCCTGAGTGGGCTCTGGGGGACCCTCCAGCACCAGCACCGAGAAGAGCTCAGGGCAGGAGAGGGGAGGTGAGGACTGTGACTCTGAGTCTGCTGGGAAGTGGCTTTGGGATTGTCAGGAGTTTGGAGTTCCAGCCGTGGAGGTGCTCACCGTACACTGTCACTGCCACTGGCACCGACTGTGCCCACATTGACATTTCAGCATCCAGCCAGCCCCTGCAGCTGTAGTGGCCACTGTGGTGTAGCTGCAGAGGGGACAGGGACAGCTCGACCCCATAGCGGGACCTCCCCACTTCCTTGTTCTCATGGTAGAATTGCACTCCAGTCCCACCAGCACTGGCAGCGCAGTTTGACCGTGTCCCCCGCCAGCAGCTCCCGTACCAGTACCTGCAGCATCAGCCAGTCTGGGTGACATGGGTGTCCTGTCACACTGGAGGTCCCATTTTCAAGGAGATCCCCCCACTGGATCACACCCAGCGCAACAAGGGTCCCCAGTTCCAACACTGGGATCCCCCCACTCTGGGATGTCCCCAGAGCAGGGAATGGGCTCTGATCACACAGGAGGTGACCCATGGAGCGGAGCCCACCCAGAGTCCTTGGGGTTCCCGCAAGTGCCAGCCTGGGGAGACCCAAAGTCCCCTCACCATCTAGGACTGTCAATGGTGGGCTGCAACCGATGCGGGGTCTGTCACACACGTAGTTGCTTTTCACGTTGACAGTGAAGTGGTAACGTGCCTCCTGCCCCCAGTGCTGCCCATCCTTGTACCAGATGGTGTCACCGATGGTCCTTGACCCCTGGCAGGTCAGTGTCACCCGGTGCCACAGCACCACCGGCCTCCAGGGAGGCTCCACCAGGAGCTGGGTGGTCTGGGCACCTGCGGGTGACAGGGGATACCAGCCTGCCAGGGTGAGAGTGGGACTGGGGAAAGCAGATCCTTTGGGAAAGTGTGTCTAGGTGGTCCCCAAAAGATATTTGGCAAAGCAGGGGGACATGTCTGTGTCACAGCCACCCTTGCACTACATCTGTGTGGCACAGACACCATGGCACCATGGACACTGAGGCCACCCTGGGCTGAGGCATATCATGGGGACATGGGTAGACATCCCGGGCATGAGGACATCACAGACACAGCCCATGCTGGCCCAGGTCATCCCCACCAGCTCATGATCCCATCCCCATGGCTGCATCATCACCGCTCTTGTCCCCTTCTGTCCCTGCATCCCCGTTCCCTTGTATTACAGCGACCTGATGAGGTCTTCCAGGGTGAGAGAAGTGGACGAGAATCTTGTTTGATGATGAGAAGGCTAGATTTATTGATATATCATATATAATACATGATTACTATAGTAAAAATAATAAGAAGAGAAGTTGCAGATGCTGCTAACCTAACAATAGCATAGAAAAGAATGAATAACCAAATTCTGTGTCCAGCAGAAAGCAAGGACAAACTCTTCTGTGAGTGGTCAGCAAGTCCAAACACTCACAGAAGACCAATCACCACTGAACCTGTTGCATTCCACACCAGCCGATAAAAATTGTTTACATTTTTCTTCTGGGGCCTCAGCTTCCCAGAAGATGAACAAATCCCAAAGAAAGGATTTCTATGAAAAAATGTCTGCGACACCTTGTCCCTATCCCCAGAGCTACCTGAGCCCAAAGGTGCCAGTTCCCACATTCCTGTCCCCACATCCCCATCCCCAAATTCCTGCCCCTGTTCCTGTCCCCAAAACCACTCTAGATCCCCAGTCCCACCCAGGTCCACTGTGGGCAACATGGAGTGGCTCTGCTGGCATTGGGGACCTCAGGGGACCCCACAGTCCCCCTGTCCTCCCTCCCCTCCCCATCCCTGGGGTGTCAGGCCCGTGCCCGAGGCACTCACCCGACAGGAGCAGCGCCACCTTCCCGGCCATCCTGGTGTCCCCAGCCACGTGCACTGCCTTTCACTTGCTGGTGGTGGCTGTCCCCTGGGTGGTGGCTCTTTGGCCAAAGGGGAAGGAAGCGAGTTCAGGTCTCATCCTCATGCGTAGGTGGCCCTTGGTGGGGCAGGGTGGCCACAAGCTGGGCACAGGCTGTGGGCAGTGTGGGGACAGGATGGGGACAAGGCTGGGTGGGGAACAGTGGGACATGGGGTTCCCAGGAGTGAGGGGCTCAGAGGGGTTTGCGGATGTGGGGATAGGTGTCCAGGGGAATTGAGAGTCTCAGGGATGGGTTCCCTGGGAATGGGGAGCTGAGGAGGGGAGTCACTGGGAATGGGGGTCCCCACGACTGAGGGGACTCAGCGATGGGAGTGCCAGAGGAACGTGGGCTCCAGGGATTTTGGGTCATGGGATGGGGATGCTGGGGGAAGGGGGGTTCCCGTGGGAATGGGGGTCCTGTGAAAATCAAGGTCCTGTGGGAAGGGAATTTTAGGGATGGAATGAGTGGGATAGGATTCCTTGGGAATGCGGTGCTGGGCCATGGAGATCCTGTGAAATGTGAGTACTGGGATACAGGTTCCAGAGAGGGGTAGACATAAGTAATGGGGTACCCATGATTTGATTTCCAGGGGAATGGAGATGCCAGGGATGGGCAGTGGCTCGATGGGCTCACAGATCCCAGCTCATTCCCTGGGTGCCTCAGATTTTGGGTGACCCAGGGCCCAGCACAGCCCCCACAAGGTGCCGGCAGCCTGGGCATCATCCCAGACAGATTCTGAGGGGCTCTGGGTGTGTGGAGCTGCTGCAGAGGTGAGAATTCTGTGGAGGAAAAAGGCCTGGCTGTGGTTTGCTCAGCCCTACAAGAAGCACAGACTCCAAAGGGAGCCCAAGCAGTGGCTCTGTGAGGGCCTTTGATGGTTTTCAGAGCAGGGCTGGCTGGAAACGCCCCACGCAAGAGCAGCTGTGAGGGAACCAGCCCCAAAATGTAGCAAATGATCACTTGTTCCTCTTTGTAAGGGACAGAGAGAACCACAAAACTACTGCACAATCCACAACATTCTGCTCAACAATCTGATCTGGACCCTCCTTCTCGAACAAAACCTGCAACCTTTTGGAGCTTCATGGAAAGAATGTTTGGGTTTGGGATGTGTCTGCCAGATAAGAGGGAAAAGTGTGGAAATACCAAGCAGAGGCTCTGGCTGCAGCTGTGCTGGTGCTATGGGGAGTGACCCTGTGTGGATTCCAGGTGTCCCCAAAGCTGCTCCATCCCTGTCCTCCTCACCTGAGTGAAAGGCTGAGGTTTTGCAGGAATTGTGGTGTAAATCCAGCAGAGGTGCTGCTGTGGACCCGAGACCTGCCTGGGGGTCAGATGCTGCCATCCTTCCATTCGGGATCATGGAGAGCAGTCGTGGGTGTTGGGCAGGGTTTGTGCCTGGCTCCGGGACGCTGCTACGCTGCCAGTGGGCACTGGGATCCAACCTGCTGCCTTGGCGGCTTCTGCCGTCTGTCGGTGGTCGTGCAGGGACCGATTGGTGGCCGTGAGTTTGCAAAAGGAGTGATTTCCCCTCCTCCCTCCTGTCCGAGGCCGCCATGGCCCATGAAAGGATGTAGCTGGTCTGGGGCGCCCCCTGCTGGCCTGGAGTGCTCCCTACAGCGCCCCCTGCTGGCCGCGGTTATAACTGCCACAAAAACCAACAGCGCTGAGCGTGACAGAAATTTCTGGGTTTGTGTTGTTGGTTCTGTTGTGGTTTATAAATTTCCCAGTAAAAAGCTGTTATTCATTCTCCAACATTTTGGCCTGGTATCCCCATAATCTTGGAAATTAAAAGAAGTTTAGAGATGGGTCCTGTTTCCATTCCAGGAACATTCTCACTTTCCTTGGCGGATATTCCTCATTTAAATGAGTTGCCACCTCCTGGGTTCCAGCGTGGATGCGACAGACACCCCAAGAGGAGACAGGGACAGGGATTTGGCCACCTCATGCTCTGCCTTTTAAGCCAGTTTGGCCAAAAAGGGCCCTCTCCTCAGATGGCACTTCTGATCACCCGAGCACTCAGGAGCTGTCTTTGGCAGAGCATCACACTGTCCCCAGTGTGCCATAGCTGACAGACTGATGGACAGATGGAGCCCTGTCTCACCAAAAGCAAGGACTGACCCAACCCTACCACATACAGGTTTTTCCAAAATTCCTTCAGACACGAAACTTTTCCTGTCTCTGACACCCCACCAAGTACCATGGCTTGAACCCAACTGCCCTGGCAAAAGGGGAGGCTCTGGAACACCCACAGGGCCTTTGTGACATCCTCGTGTGGGGAACACGGCAGAGGAGGGCTTTGGGAAAGGGGAGAAGAGAATCCAGAGCCTGCTGAAGGCCGCTGCGGCCATCAGAGCAAGGAAGGTCCAGAGTCCTGCCAGGTTCTTCTGCTGGAGGAAACGTGCTGGGGGAAGTGTTTGGGGTTTGTTCTTTTTTGGTGTGCTTTCCCTGGTAATTGTTCCTTGTGTGACAATTTGGACTCTGAACCTTGTTGCTGTTGCTTTTGGTTTTATTCTCTCTGGTTGCTGTTTAAGGAAATTGTTCTTCTCTCACCCCTTTGGGATCTTGGTGCCCCCACAGGGAGGCAGAGGGGAAGTTTTTAGTGGCAGCACACACACGAGTGGGTGCCCATGGGTGGGGACCCCCAGCGCCCCCCAGTTCCCCCCATTGTCACAGCACATTCCCGTAGATATCACCGGGTTCCCGCGGTCGTCCCTGGAGTCCCCGCAGCTTTGCGTAGCTCACCTGGGGATCCTGGAGGGTGGTGGCATGGGGGGATGCTGCGAGAGAGACGGGCTGTGGGATCTGGGTGTTGTGACACTCGTGGGTGACGTGTCCCTCTGCGTGTGTCCCCCCTGTACTCACCTCCTGCCTTCTTGGTGATCATGACGTGGGTGTACAGCACCTCCCACTCCTCTGGCAGGGGTGGGGGATCCGGGTGAGCCCTGAGGGAATAAAGGGGATGTGGGGGAGGGGATGGGAGGTCTTGGGGGTTGGGGTAAAACTGGAGAGTGAGGTTTGAGCCCCCCACTCACCTGTCCTGGTTCTTCCTGGCAGCTGCAATGGAAGCAGGGGAGGAGTGACTGTGGGGTCCCAGGGTCCTGGCCCCTCTTAGGATTCCTAAACCCCTTCAAGACCTCCAAGTATCCCTGAAGCCCCCCAGAAGCCATGAGCCTCCCCAGTGTCCCCAAACAACTCACACTCAAGAACCCAAATCCCAGGAGGGACAGAGACTCCCCCAAAAACCCCCAGGGCCTTAGAAAGAATCCCCAAAATCTCTGCAGGACCATCCAGCACCTCCCCAAACCCTACAGGACCCCTAGCCAAAGTCACAATTGTGGTGCTGTGAGTATTTCCCTATGGTTTCTCCAATTCTGTGGGCCTCTACAGCTCTCTGGGAGCCCTGTCCCCCCATTGTTACTCACCCATACAGTGCCACTGGCGCCAGGCCACAATGACACTCACAAGCGGGAGCAGGAAAAAAAGAGCCCCACTGACCCCTGAGGTCACTGCAAGAAACAGAGGGGGACACATCAGGATCACTCATCACCCCATTGGTCCTGCACTCACTGGTGATGCCACCTGTGTCACCCCACCTGTGACCCAGGGTGAGTCAAATGTCACCTCCAGGGCCAGCTCTGGGCTGAGTGCCCAGAACACGCGGTGCCTGTCCTGTCCCAGGAGGTTTGTGGCCACGCACTGGTAGATGCCCGAATGTCCCACATCAATGTCCCCGAGGTCCAGGAGGGGACCTCGGGCCACCTCCTGCCCATTGTGCAGCCAGGTGAAGGTGACAGGGGCTGAGCCCACGTGCACTGAGCAGCGCAGGGTAACGTTGTCACCTGCTTGCACCTGGTGTGCCAGGGGGCCAGGGGTGATGGTGGCATTGGCCATGGGCACTGTGGGGAAAGAGACAGGGCTGGCGCCTGGTGAGGTGGAATGGGGTTGCTGTGAGTGGGGTCTTCCCAGCCCGAGGGTCCCACTCACCCAGGACGGTGACATTCAGGGGGTCACTCTCGGCCACGCTGTTCCCGTTACTGACCCAGCACCAGTACTGACCGCTGTCATTGTCCCCAGCGTGGTGCAGCTCCAGGTGGGGGCCGGTTCCCAGCAGTGCCCCTGAGCCCTCCCGGTGCCAGGAGAAGGACAGGGGACCTGTCCCCACTGCCACCGCACAGCTCAGCCCTAGGCGGTCCCCAGGTGAAACCTGTCCCCTGGGGGGCTCCACCAACAGGGACACCCGCAAGGGCGGGACCCCTGCGGGAGAGGGAGACACCAGGGGACAGTGAGGGACCCGGGAGGGTGTCAAGGAGGGGCAGGGGAATTCCAGTGAGGGAGAGGGGGTGCTTAGAAAGGAACCCCGAGAGATGATAAGGGTGTCAGGGAGGGAACACCTGGAGAGGGAGGTGGGCAACTCCAGGGAGGGTACGGGGACCATGGGAGGGGATGGTGAGACTTCAGCAATGTGCAGAGACCTCAGAGAGGGGTGAAGGGACCCAGGGATGCGGGAGGGGACCCAACGAAGGATGGAGGGAAACATGAGCAAGGAATGGGGGGACCTTAGGAGCGACCCGGGGCAGTGATGGCAGGACACAGAAAATGCACCGGGGAAGGATGGGGGTACCCATGTAGGGGCTGGGGGTCTTGGGGAGAGACCCGAGAAAGGATGTGGGGGGCAGGGAGGGATCTGGGAAAGGTTGGGTGCCCCAGAGCAGGTGTCAGGGAGGGCTGGGATATGCCAGGCAGTGGGGGGGACCTGAGGCATCTGTGGGCGCTCCCCGTGCCCATCCCCACACTCACTGCACACCATGACGAGAAGCCGGGCGCTGGTCTTCTGCATGGACCCCCCCCTGGGAGTGCACATCACAGCCATAATTCCCCGAGTTGGAGACCCTCACAGTGGGCACCAGCTGCTGCGGGGACCCCTGTGGGGCCCCCACCACCTGCCCATCCCGGTAGAACATGTGCAGGAGGGGGCTCGGGGCCACAGGGTGCTGGGGGCAGTGCAGCAGCTGAGATTCAGGGGAGACCCCACAGTGAGCTCGTGGGGACCCTCCAGCACTGGCACTGAGAAGAGCTCAGGGCAGGAGAGGAGAGGTGAGGACTGTGACTCTGAGTGCACTGGGAAGTGGCTTTGGGGTTGTCAAGATATTGGAGTTCCAGCCGTGTGGGCGCTCACCATGCACTGTCACTGTCACTGGTCCTGATTGTGAGTGCCAGGACCCCACCAAGCCCTCACATCTGTAGCGGCCACTGTGGTGCAGCTGCAGAGGTGAAAGGGACAGCTTGGTCCCCTTGAGGGACCCCCTGAGATCCTTCTCCTCCCGGTAAAATCACACCCTGGTGAGATGGATGTCCTGCCGGCACCGGCAGCGCAGTGTCAAGGTGTCCCTCTCCAGCAGTGCCCGCACTGGCGCCTGCAGCACCAGTGGGTCTGGGGAACAGGAAGGTCACATCTCACTGATGAGACTGTTCTGAGGTAGGTGCCCATAGCACCAGGGACATGTGGGTACACTGGGGTGCTCTGGGGTGCTTTGGGATGCACTGGGATGTCCCTGTGTGCAGGGCACTGACTCTTGTCACATGACAGGTGTGAGGCCATCCACGGAATGGAGCCCACCCTTACCGCTCTGGAGCCCCCATGATCATTAAAGGTCTCCCCTCACAATCTAAGATTGTCATGGGGGGCCTGCGCCCAGTGCCAGGTCTGTCACACCAGTAGGTGCCACTCTCGGTGACACTGAGGCGGTCTTGTCCCTCCTGCCACCAATGCTGCCTGTCCTTGTACCACGTGGTGGCACCGGCAGTCCCCGAGCCCTGGCAGGTCAGTGTCACCCGGTTCCACAGCACCGCTGGCCTCCGGGGGGCTCCACCAGGAGCTGGGTGGTCTGGGCACCTGCAGGTGACAGAGGACACCAGCCTGCCAGTGCCTCCATGGGGCTGGGCACAGCAGGGTGGGGCCATGGCATCCCCTGAGGACTCACCAGTGACGCCGAGGGTCTGGGCTGGAAGGGAGAAGGGACAGGGCTCAGTGGGGGTGTCACCATGGGGACAGAGGCACATGGGGTACAGGGTGTGGGGGCTGTCCCGAAACTGTCCCCATGGGGACAGATGCTCTTGTGGGAAAGTGTGTGGGTGGTCCCCAGAAGTCTGGACAGGCAGGGGGACATGTGTGTGTCACAGCCACCCGTGTACCACATCCATGTGGCACAGACACCTTGGGAACAGGGACATGGAGGCCACCCTGGGCTGAGGCAGAACATGGGTTCACTGAGAACACCCCAGGCACAAGGACAGCATGGACACAGCCCATGCTGGCCCAGGTCCCCCCCACCAGCTCATGATCCCATCCCCATGATCCCATCCCCATGGCCACATCCTCACGGTTTTTGTCCCTGCATCCCAGTTCCCTTGTCGCTGTCCCCGAAGCTGCCTGAGCCCAAAGGTGCCAGTTCCCACATTCCTGTCCCCACATCCCCATCCCCAAATTCCTGCCCCTGTTCCTGTCCCCAAAGCCACTCTACATCCCCAGCCCTACCCAGGTCCACTGTGGGTAACATGGAGCGGCTCTGCTGGCATTGGCGACCTCAGGGGACCCCACTGCCCCCCTGTGCCCTCTTCCCTCCCCATTCCCAGGGTATCATGCCTGTGTCTGGGGCACTCAGCCCAAAGGAGCAATGGCACCTTCCTGACCATCCCATTGTCCCCAGCCATGTGCACTGGCTGTCACTCGCTGCTGTGGCCACCACTCCACTGGCTGGTGGCTCCTTGGATGAAGAGGAAGGAAGCAAGGTGACGTCTCGACCTCATGTGTCGGTGGCCCTTGGTGGGGACAGGGTGGCTCTGGGTCAGGGGACATGGGTGAGTGGGACAAAATGGGATGTGGGGCTCCCAGGAGTGGGGAATTTGGTGGTTTTGGGGAGGCAGGAATGGGGTCACTGGTAAATGGGGTCCTGAGGAGGGGGAATATCTGGCAATGGGGGTGCCATTGAAATGAGTGTCTCCATACCTGGGGGGACTCAGGGATGGGAGTCCAAGGGGAATGTGGGCTCCAAGGATTTGAGTTCATGGGATGGGAGAATTATGGGTCCTAGGAAGATTTCAGGGGATGGAATGAACGGGAAGGAGTTCCTTGGGAATGGGGTGCTGGGCCATGGAAATCCTAGGGAATGTCAGTGTTGGGATGGGGGCTGCAGAGTGGGACATAAGGAACGGAGGTGCCATGTTTCCGTTCCCAGGGGAATGGGGGTGCCAGGGATGGGCAGTGGCTGGGTGAGCCCATGGGTTGCAGCTCCTTCCCTGGGTACTTCAGATTTTGGGGTGACCCAGAGCCAGCTCCACCCCCACATGGTGCCGGTGTCCAGGGTGTCACCTCAGAGAGATTCTGAGCTGCTCTGGGTCTGTGTCCCCCAGCCTCCAGTTATTTTTCCCTCTCTTTATTCCATTTCCATCATTTTACCCCTCAATTTCACAACCCCCCAGTTCGTGCCTTGAGGATCCTGTGTAGCTCCTGAGCAGGGAATGTGTTGGGGGAAGCCCAGGGTGCGGGCAGCCCAGGGTGGGGGAAGCAGGGGTGAGGGGTCTGCAGGGAGGGCTGGGGAGGCTGTGGGGGATGGGGGAGTGCAGCTTTTACTCCCCAACACTTTCACTTTCTCTCTCTTGCTGAAGAAGGAAGAGGTCATTTGACACCTTTCTCACATGGGGGAGGAGGGTTCTGTCCTTGGGGGGCACATCCAGGGGGCTCCTGTCCTGGGGGGATCCTGTCCCAGGGGGGACACATGCCGGGGAAGAGGGTCCTATCCTGGAGCTTGGCGGCTTTGGAGGGGTCCAGACTTCTCCATTCTTGCTCATCCCCTGCTGGATCTGAGCCAGCAAGAGCAGCTGGGGAATGGAACCCTGAGCAGGAAGGAGCTCCCAAACTCCTGCTCCTTGAAGCCAGTGGCCATCCAAGGGTGGGGCCCAGCCATGGCCCAGCCCCACTGCACAGGGATGGCCATTGCCCAGCCCTGCTCTGGCCAGCCCCAGGGGGCAGCCAGCACCTGAGGGTCTCTCCTGCCCCCTTGGCTTTCATTCTTGCAGCTTTAGAGCTACTGCAGAGGTGAAAATTCTGCGTGGGCAGAAAAGGCTTGCATGTTGTTTGCTCAGCCCTGCAAGAATCACACAACCCAAAGAGAGCTCAAGCAGTGGCTCTGCAAGGGCCTTTGATGGTTTTCAGAGCAGAGCTGGCTGGAAACCCCCCTGGCAGGGGCAGCTGTGGGGGAACCAGTCTGGAAATGCAGCAGTTGATCATTTTGTCCCTTTCCCCAAGTGACTGAGAGAGCCCCAGCACAACTGCAAATCCCTCAACAACCTGACCAGGACCCTCCTCCTCCTCTCTGCCTTGCTGTGGATGGGCAGTGCATGCCCCGCACCCACCACAGCCGCTCTCTCACTGCCCTCTGCACCTGGATGGGGAGAGAAAATTGAACACAGGGTTCCTGGGTTGAGACAAGGACCAGGAGAGATCACTCATCAAATCATGTCATGGGTAAAAGTGCTTCAGAATTAGAGATATGAATTGAATTTATTGCTGCGAAAATCAGAGCAGGATAATTCAAATAAACCCTTCAATACACCTTCCCGCTGTTATGAATAACTATGTAGTCATTGGTTTCTCTATTATATTGATTTTCCAAATTATTTTGATATAATACATTTTTTAATCAGTTTTTAACTGCTTTTGATACACTACAAATTTTCAGCCTTTTAACCCTCTAAGTGACTAAGTGACAATGGTGAGAATAACAGATAATTTTGTGAACTAGCTAATTTTGATGTAACGTACTGGTGGACTATCTCATCTGTATGAGAAGGACACTTTGAAAAGTAGCAAGTGAAGAAACATCAAAAGAAAGAATGCAAAGAGGAATTTAGCATTGACACTTTGGACTGTCAAACCACAGAACAGGGGGGCCTTGTGAGGACATAAAATATATAAATTTAATCTGCAGTATGGTGTTTACTTTATGAAAATGAATCAAGGGTCAAACCAAGCAAAAGAATTCCCAGACCACGTGAACTGGAAAGAATGTTTGAATATGTTATACATACCCTCCTGAGTACTTATTTCACCAATACAATGAAAATGTATGTATGAAGAATTGTTCTAATTATCCATGTGCCTCTGGCAGTTGCCAAGCACCCAGCAGGCTGTTTACTCTCCCTTTTATCTCTTATTAAACATTCACAAATTTTAAAGAGTGAGCCTTGTTTCTCAC